ATATATATAAATAAGTACAATAAGTGGCAATATATGTTATATATTATAACATAAGGTGGTTGACTTCTCGATTTATTCTTTCATTTATTCAAATTATATCCATGTTGTTCATTCATTGATAATTAAAGATGACAAAAATGATACACGGGAAAAGTGGTTTGGCTGAAGTAAAAATTTAACTATAGATACAGATCTAAAAATAATTTTATTGGATTATTAAAATAATTATATAGGACGTTCAAGTTGGTTGCTAAAATATCAAAACTTTTTACGGCATTGCTTAACATGCTTGAGCATTTTATATAATTATTATTTTAATGGTTCTGAATTTTTCGGTATTTTATCAAACTCATTTTTCCCATGTAAGGTACTCATCATATGGCATACTAAACTGATGAAAAAATTCTCGCAAAATTTTTTTAGCGTCTCACAGAAAAATTGTGTCATACAATTCACACCCGTGTAAGCTCAAAGTGATTCGACAAGAATAGGAAAGTAGTGACTCCCTTTCACTGTTAACTACATTTCCTCAATACATGAATGTAACAAGGAATTTCCTGTGAACGGTACGTTCCAAACAATGCAGTTCATCCTTCGTGAGCAAGAGCGGATACCAACGAAGTAAACCACGAATCTCGGATTCGTTCCAGTCGTTCGCACGATGACGAACAGAGGAAATAGACGCTTCCTGTGCGGAAATTCACAACCTTCGGCGGAAGCCCGAGGGAGACCGCAAATGACGTTAGAGGAACAGCTGAGGGAATAATTACGAAGTACCAACATTGCGATTCTACGAACGAGCGATACTCGGCAATGTACAGAATAAATATTCTACAACCTTCGGTTCCGATTTAAAAACAATCCCTCAATAAAAGAAAATGTTTATTTAAAATTTTTCAATTCTGATTCTTATTAAATAGGTAATCAATAACGTCGAAAAAATTCTTCGGAGACACGATCCGGATTCTTTTCTACCTGTGAAAATAATGTATGTAACCAAGTGTCATAAATTCCACAAAGCGAACTCTCTCTCTGGCACTTATCCGCAGTATCAAAGCCGGAAATCTCAAGGCGTCACGGAGACGGAGTAAAAGAATTTGTCTCGAAATACACTCGGTAGACGGTACACAAGACGCGCCCTGAAGCGTGAAAAAAAAAAAGAAGTGGACACGCGCGTCAGGTCAGCGCGCCCGGAATGTGGACTATTTCTGGACATTCTCCGGAGAATCCGTCGCAAAAATTCGGTTCCCGGTTGCCCTTTATAGTTTAGACACGCGTTCCGATGCATCGAACATGCTGGGAAAATGATAGTCACTCTACTGTAATCTTTCCTTTACGTACCAACGCGTCGCGTAAAAGTTTGTAGATCAATCTTTGGGTTTCATTAAACTTTTACCGCAATCCACAATCACAAATATTGTATCAAGATTTATAAAACACACATACCATGGGAAAAACGATTTTACAGAAATATTTAAAAATTAACTATCTGAAAATAACTGAAATGGAATATCAGAATAATTATCAAGATAATTAGAATGTTCAAACGTTGATGATAATACTGTAAAAAGTTTTAACATTTTAACAATTATTTTTTCTGAAGCGTTCCATATATTTTTAATAGTCCAAGCAAAATTATTTTTCAGATTTACATCTATAATACATAGCTAAAATTTTAAATATTTTAGCAAAATTTGTTTTTTCCACGCAGTATTTATAATTATAAAATTATCTCTATATTCTACGCGCGTTATTTTCGCAAAGTTTGCAGTCACAAACTGTACTGTCTATCACACATTAAAAAATTTTTTTTTTATATAATAAGTTATAAATTTTATGTTATAAAAGTATTCTTTCTATAAATCTATTGATAAAATAGAAAAACGTCGCAATATGTCGCTTTTATTACCTCGTTTCGACTAAAAGGTAAAAAATTTCCGACTGCGATTTGCGATAAAATCCGCTTTGGTTATAAATATTAATTATTTCAACGGGCAAACGTGCGATTGATTATATGGTCTCTAATTGCCGTAGAAAAAACAGCTTAATTACGTAGAGTACGCAGTATTGACACGCACGGCATCTGCCTTCTGTCTTTTCGATGTGATATAGCGACACGACGCAACGCTCGGTTGGACATCGCGTATATAAACCGGTTACGTTGCGCAATCCTCGTTAACAATATACTCCAGCTCGTCAAGGTGCAATGAGTCACAAAAATATGAGATCAAACGGAGAAAAAAAAAGAAACGCCACGATCCTGCCAGGATTCGAACCTGGAATCTTCTGATCCGTAGTCAGACGCGTTATCCGTTGCGCCACAGGACCAGCTGATTACGAAACAGTATCAAATGGCATATCTAGGAATATAAAGTCGTCAAACGTAAACGAGAGTTAGATATTTTCAATATTCGATAATAATACAGAAAAAATGTCGTATAACAAGCAACAGAATTTTATATTCGGATAAAATACAAAGATATTCTTCACTTTTTTTTGAGTATTTATATGTATTATTTATTACAAATATATGCTGTCTATCAAATTATAATAAATTTCCAAATTCGAATCAAAATTGTTATTGAACAATGTTTTATTTATTCTGGGAGCAATCTAAAGTATATCAATCATCCATATATACGCAGTAAAATTAAAGTGTTATCGGATATCTTAATTTCTGAGAATATGACTTTCTTGCACATTTTTATAGATTTTCTTATTACGATCATTTGACATTTTGCGATTCCCGTTAAACACTCTCTCTTGTCTCAATTGTATATCCTTATAAATAAATTTTCCAATATTTTCAATGTGTCATACTTAAAAAATAAGAAATAGTAACAAAAATAAAGACTAATCCATTCTCATTTTTTTTTTAAATGACTTCTTTTTTAAGATTCTTAATTATTCTCTATCGTTCAAACTCCAAGACTAATAATTATACGAGTATCCATTGCCATGAGAATAAATCACCGATCGTCAAACATTAAGACAAAGGTATTTATCTGTCTTTATCTTCTTTCATGACAAAACACTCAATACTGTCTATATCGCACGATCTTCCATTGGATTTTAAAAAAAGATCTAAAAGAATTAAAGCTAGTTAAAATTTTCAATTGTAACAGCTGTACGCTGATAATTCGTTATGCAGCAATATGTCGGACGCAAACACCCGTTTCAACCGTAAATCATACACGTCCTTCTCTTCGCGACAAGCGAATATTTCACGGACACGTTGAATTGCAGTCACGCATCTTTCGACAAACTTCTCATTTTCGTGATGCGCTGCGTGATAAAATGTTCAGTGTCGATAATAGTGTAACCAATCACGAAGAGTTTCACGTGAAAATTTTGTGTGCCCTGTATCTTTAAAGCTTCGCGAGGGAACTGCAAGTTTGGCGTACAAAAGCGAGTCTAACGTGTACTTACCCATTTCTTAGAAGAATATAAAAAGTATCATTCCTAGTTCTAAGAATTAAAAAAAAAAAAGGAGTAAATTAAACCGAGATTAAAGTTAACCTGCATTTATTTTTATTTAAGTCACGGATTTCCCAGATTCGCATCAAAATTATCATTGAAAAATAATATTCATTCTGGAGCAATCTGTATCAATCAATTGTGAAGTAAAGTCGTTAAAGGTCTATCGAAAAGCGATCAGATTTTCGGATAATTATTCGTGAAGCGTCTCGTTAGCCTTGATTTTAATTATCGACTGGATGACGCAATTAACAAACTGTCGCCTAGGTATATACGAGTAATAGCGATACGTCCATTATTCTCTTGTTCAACTTTATATGAATGTCTCACACGAGGACACGACAAGATGTGAAGGCTCGCTCCTACAATATCCAAGATATGAAAAGATAACGCGCCTCTCCACGCATTTCCGGGATAAGTGTGCAGAAGTTGTACGCGGTATTGTTTCCCTATTCATCCTCTCGAATATCGACAGGCACGAGCGTGTTCCATACAGGTTTCCTGAAGTTCTCGATAGCTGCGTTCGACGCGTGTCATATTTTTTAACGAACGTCGTGCACGTCGGCAAATCAATACACACGGCGATGCGATTTCCAGTGAAATCCCGGCATAATGGAGAGCGAAGAGCTGAGAAGAGAGAAGTGCAATTTCAATATTTATAGGATATTCTACCGTCTCGACGATTATTTCCGTTTCTTGTTAAAGCTGCAAATTGGAACGAAAAAAGTCAAGGCAATAAATTGGCACGTCCGATATACTCATAATGACATTCTAATAAACTTTACGACAGAAACTGAATTGCATTTGTGATTATTTCCATATTTTTTTCCGCGACATTTCCAGCCGCGTATCGAGCTGCAATACGTATAACATACATTATCAAAGAAACATGTTCAGACTTGTCTTACACTCAAAGATCACGCTATTCTCTCTTTAGTGCCCGTATATCTACTCACGTAGATTGACTTTGATGTTGGTTCAACTTACTTTTTATCTTTTTCTAGTTTTACGATTTAGAAAAGGATACGGAGCAAATTAAACCGAAATTAAAGTCAACTCACAATGATAAAAATTGACGTGAAATACATAAACTTACTTTGCTTCAAGAATCACCTGGATTAGCGAGGTTTTGAAATAATGGAAGAAAAGTCGGCCTGCTTTCCTCTGTTTTCTTAAGTAATTCGCTCCGGGAGGAAAAGTCTACGCACACGGGGAAACTACTAATTTCATAGTCTACGACACACAATCGCGCTTTTACGTAAGGTACATCCACGGGCGAAGTAGCGCGGAAACCTCGCTTTTCGCCGCGTGCGTAAACGCGAGTCGATAGGTGCGCGCACGGCGACTCCAGTATTTACGTCGGTGTGTCACGTTGACAGCGAGCAGCACGGTTGGCTCCGGCTCGTGCACGCCAAGCGCACGACAGCGTAACGCGATATACGCCCGGCGAGTCCTCGTCGGTGAAAAAAGAACAAAAAAAAAAAACGCGCGTATCGACACGCGAACGATCGTTGGCCACTTACGATTAGCTGCGGGAGATCTCGTGCGTCGCTGTCACCCTGTCGTTATTCACCCCGGAGGCAAGAGGGTGCTTCGACGTCCAGTCGCGCTGAATGGGGACGTTCGGCGTCTAAGTGTTGAGAGATGAGAGGGAGGAAAAATATTACGTGACGATCTCTCGAGCCTCCAAACTCGCCGATCGTCGCTTCCGCAGTCGCCGCGATTGTTGACGCGAGTCACGTGGATCACATCGTCGCGCGCGACCCACTCAGAGAAACGCGAAAGCGGCCGAAACGCGCTGCCATCCGCCGCGAACTATCATCACACTCGCCATTTTGATTTACACTGACGGTTGTTCCGTCACGGGCGGCAAGGTGTCCTGCGCGACGCGCAGCCTGCGCATGCGCGCGACAGGTGGCTGCGTGGGTATCACACCCCGCCGCCCCCACCGTTGTATTCCAGGTGACGAGCGGAAAATGCAAATTTATAATCTACTTTATCGACTTAAAAGTTAAAGGTATATGAGACTCGCCAAGAGAGAGTTTTGGATTTATCGTATATATGTAGTAAGGGTTGTAATTTATGAGGTTACATTTACTTGAAATTATTGTAATTAATTATCATTATATGAATCTTTTTCTACACAATACAGGATAAAATAATTCAGTTTTATGATATTGTAATGTATCTTATTTTAATATTAATAAATAAAAATATATAAGTGCGAGATAGAAACTTTAATACAGTCTATAAGTCCACAACAAAGAACATAGGCTTTGAGAATATTAGATATAGAATTCCATATAGAATATTTATATATAGATATAAAATACATAAAACGTATATAAGTATATATAGTTCATATTGCATATACATATATAAATCAAAGTAAAGAAATAATCTATTTATATATATTATTTAAAAAATTTTATTTCCAAACGATTGATGGTATAAACTTATAATGTTTAAAGCGCGAGAAATTCATTTTATTGATCAGCTGATTTCTTATTTTCAGCTGAAGTTAATATATTACCTATTGTCGGTAATATATCTACTTGCTCATTTTTTCTGACTAACCAAGAATAGATAAAAGAAAAATTGTATCAATTTAGCCAAAAAAGTTTGAATTTTTCAACTTAGAAATCGCAAGAGAATTCGAAAATATATATGGAAATTTAAATATTTTTATTAAATAGAGAATTATATTAAAAAAAATCTTAGTTAAAAAAACATTGACAATTGCAGTTTTTTTCCTATTTTTTATATTAATATCGATCTTTATACCAAATTCATTGTTACATTTAAGATTGCAAAAGTATAATTTAAAATACTTAAATTACAATACTGTATTTTACTTATTATAATAAAAAGAATATATTGATCTATAAATTATAAAAAAAAATTGGCCCATGAGGGGATCGAACCCGCGACCTTCGCGTTATTAGCACGACGCTCTAACCAACTGAGCTAATGGGCCTCTTCGGTAGTACCTCTTTATGACAACATTTTCCATTTTATTTTATAATTCATTTATAAAAATAGTAACACTTGTTCTACATGAACATTTTGCTAAAAAAGAAGCTATGGCATAGCTCATGAGGGAATCGAACCCTTGACTTTCGCCATTATATGTAGTGCGTCGCGTCTGCCCTAATGGTCCGTCGTTCTTATTTTTCTTTATGATAACATTTTCAGTATAAACTTCGTCACTCACTCGCGAAAATATTTCTTTTGTATAAATTGTGTTTCACTAAAAAAGATAATTTGGCCCATGAGGGGATCGAACCCGCGACCTTCGCGTTATTAGCACGACGCTCTAACCAACTGAGCTAATGGGCCACGCTTGCTGAATATGTTTTTTATTATATTTACATATAAAACTATACTGTTAATATAATATATACTATTTAATGTAGTAATATAATAGTATTTAATGTAACTGTTTTGTAAATAATTGATTCTTTAAATAAAACAAATTTAGAAATTAATTATTTAAATATGATATTATAATGATTTCCTTACTACAATAAATTATTTATTTGCTGTTTCAAACTGAATTAATACAAAATAGATGAGATAGTACAGGACCCTTTTAATATTCAAAATACAAAAATATATAAATATAGGGTATATAATAATAAAATAAAAGAATTATAAAATAAAAAATAATATAATATGTCTTTATTTTAAAAATTAATAATAATACAATTAAATAATAATAAAACCTTATTGACAATATTATAGGTCTATAATGATTAAAAATGTTTAATTGTCACGACGAATAAATCTGTAATAATGTAAATATAAAAAAAATCATTATTACAGTTTTGTTCGTCGTAACAGTTAGACATTTTTAATCATCAGCGGTGATTTTTATAATTTTATATCTTTCAATATTATATATTTGTTAATTTACTTCAATTTTATACATCGGATGTTATGCACATTTACTATGATATTATATTCTTTTACCTTCTTTGACTGCAAATCACAATTTAAATAATGAATATTTTTATTATCATTGATATGATCAATTTTTTTGGACTTTGAGAACATTTCGCATTCGGTGAATCAATCGCATGACGAGCAATTTCTATGCTCTGTTTTAACATTCATCTGTTTATTTTTAAATCATCGACTATATATAGTTATAATTTTTTGCGTAATAATATTTTTATATCTAAAAAGGGCTTAACATGAAGCCGAAACATGTAATAATAATAAGCCTATAATATTATTAATAAGGTTTCATTATTATTTAATTGTATTATTATTAATTTTTAAAATAGACATGTTATATTATTTTTTATTTTATTATTCTTTGACTCTTATATGTAGTATATTTATGTAGTTTTGTATTTTGAATTAATACAGCGTAATAATTTTTAAACTGAAATTTCCTGATGACTATAATTTTTATTATATATACTAAAGCTAATATTGTAAAACTAACTGTGTCATAATAAAAGTGCCGTTTAATAGAAAATATAAAAGCATGTTTTATTATATTAACGTCGACATTACCGTTTTTGCATGATTATAGTTAAATTCTTTCCCAGCAAAAAACTGTGTTTTTAAATAACTTTATATCTAACTTTAGATTTGCTGAATGTCCATGAACTTATATCTTTCCATATAACTTGAAGATATTACGTTTTAAGACTGTTTTTATGAGACGGATCTCCAGAAATCACTATCTGATAAAACCACTTCCTGTTCTTTTTTCCTCTAGTAAGCGTCAATGATCCTTCACCTTCTGAACACGATCAATCCCGTGCCGTCCTCATCCGAGAACTTGCCTTCGCTGTTTGCAAGAGTTCGTGAACCCTATATCGATTTCACTATTCATAGAAACGACAAGGAACGGTCAATGGACTGCCATCCGTTTCGATTAATACATATGTTACATAGACCGTGAGTTAACAACTGTTCTATAACTGACTTCCTCCTTTTACAACTTTTATATAAAGTGTAAATTGATCGTACGCGTCAACGAACACACGTTGCAAGGGCACCGCACTGTCAAATTAGTAACCCACAATATAGCAGAAAGTACGTCATACAGCATTTCTTAAGTTCAAATTTATAATAATTCAACCTGTCTCTCAAATTTAATTCATCATCATTGTAATTTAAAGTACAATTTTCATTTACTTGAGATGAAATTTATCTTAAAAAAATGATGAATAGAAGTGGCGTGTACAATTGAATCATTATTCAACTTTTATTCATCGTTTCACAGATATACGCTTCAGCACATTCGAAGAGAGCTTGTTCTGCGAATATACTCGAATATTTTCCCTGTTACTACATTTCTAGACTGTTCATCAAATTCATATTCAGATCAGCTGAAATCAAAGAATCTCCTCGAGCATTTCGTCTTATGATTAATAAATTATAAAACCAACACGAAATGTTTTTAGACGCTGTGACCTTCAATTGTTCTTCGTATTAAATCCATTAAAACCGAATCAACATATATTAAAGTTACTGTTTTCTTTTCTTTAGTTCAATTTCGGATACTTTAAACTTTCGATCAATGATCAGTCCATTACTAGTTTTTGATTAAAGCAGTTTATAATCATTGCTTTATTACGATGACATAAATTGTTTATTTTATACATTTTCTGTAACTTAATATAATTCTAATCTCTTAAACTAATCCGAACAGAACTCTTGACTCTGCATGTCATTATAAAAGTTACTGATAACACAAACATAAGTCAGTTAAGAATATTGAAGTTTAAGACTATTTGTTTCTTACTTCTATAATTTTTTTACAAATCCTTATAATACTTTATACAATATCATGAAAATAAACAACGTCAGTATTATTGCATAATAAATATATGTACACGTAATATTTCTCAATGTAAATATTTACAAAAAGCATTAAAGGAAAAAGTTTAATCATGTAGAATGCAATTACCTGAAGATAAGACCACATTTATAAAATTTGTGCTTATAGAAACTCATGATCTTTAACTTCCTAATCTAGCTCCTTTCTCCCTTTCCATTCTAATGATATAACGTTTTTGCTCGCTTTTAATTTAAATTTACAAACATATCGATGAGATTATATATTAAATATAGCATCTTATCAATGATCATATTAATCATGTCTTTAATCATATTTTATTAAAAAAGCCAAGAATGTGTACTGTTAATGACGATAAATTTCTTGTGTTCTATTATAAAATCGTACTGCGTGATGAAATTACTTAATTCTTACATTTTTTTAAAGCTGTACTTTGTTGCCCTTAGAATGGATGGGTAAGTTACTTTTAAAGTTACTTTTTTGGTTGCTTTATATGTTTATAGAAATTGAGTATAAAATAAAATACAAAATTGAAACAAATGATAATAATATGTAACATAAAAAATAAAATACCCGAACTAATTGTATACTCATTTTCTATAATAAAAAGTAACTTATAAATAACTTACAAGGTAACTTTCCCTTCCTTAAGGCTCCAGTCTCAAAAGCTCACAAGTAAACATGCTGCTTGTCTGAAGAAGAAGGAACAAATATACCACTACAATAGCTATTATTCATCTCATTAAACAAGAGTTATACTATAGTTATAATATTTATTTTTAATTAATACACCAGTACGTATTACAAATCCATGTATGTGATATCTTCAAATTGTTGTATTAGTATCTGTTTTCTTTAGCTTTTTACTTTGCAGATTAAAAGTACAATGCCTTCTAAAATTTTTTCTAAAAGAAAAATTACTCGATTCTCCAATTTTTCTCAATTCTTTTAAAAAAATATAAATATAAGGAACGTTGTATGTAATATTAATTTGTAAGTAACGTAC